CAGATCTCTTGAAAATGAATGTCCCAATAACCCCAGAAGAACCCATAAATGCCTTTCCTCTTTGGCTGGATATATCACGTCCAATTAATTATACTCTTGTTAGTATTAAGAAAATGTTAAAAACCGATGTGGTGAGATGTGTCACACTAGAAACTATTAATAGACACATAGAGAGTATTAAATTAAGTGAATATTCTGCTTTTACTGATGGTTCTGTGCAGACAAACACAGGTAAACAGGCTGTGCAATTGTAATATATAAAGAAAAAGAGATGATAGTGTCAAACAAGCAAAGGCTGAACAACTAGGCCATGATTATAACAACCACGACTATGATTATAACAACCACGACCATGATTATAACAACCACGACCATGATTATAACAACAACGACCATGATTATAAGAACCACGACCATGATTATAACAACCAGGACCATGATTATAACAACCACGACCATGATTATAACAACCACGACTATGATTATAACAAACGACCATGATTATAACAACCACGACCATGATTATAAAAGCATGACCATGATTATAACAACCACGACTATGATTATAACAACCACGACCATGATTATAACAACCACGACCATGGTTATAACAAGCATGACCATGATTATAACAACCACGACTGATGATAACAACCACACATGATTATAACAACCACGAAAATCATTATAACAACCACGTCCATGATTATAACAACCACGACCATGATTATAACAACCACGACCATGATTATAACAACCGCGACCATGATTATAACAACCACGACCATGATTATAACAACAACGACTATGATTATAACAACCACGACCATGATTATAACAACCACGACTATGATTATAACAACCAGGACCATGATTATAACAACCACGACCATGATTATAACATCCACGACCATGAATATAACAACCGCGACTATGATTATAACAACCACGACCATAATTATAACAACCACGACCATGATTATAACAACCGCGATTATGATTATAACAACCACAACCATGATTGTAAAAACGATGACCATGATTATAACAACCACGACTATGATTATAACAACCACAACCATGATTGTAAAAACGAGGACCATGATTATAACAACCACGACTAAGATTATAACAACCACGACCATGATTATAACAACCGCGACTATGATTATAACAACCACGACCATGATTATAACAACCACGACTAAGATTATAACAACCACGACCATGATTATAACAACCGCAACTATGATTATAACAACCACGCCCATGATTGTAAAAACGAGGACCATGATTATAATAACCACGACTATGATTATAACAACCACGACCATGATTATAACAACCACGACCATAATTATAACAACCACGACCATGATTATTAAAGCCACGACCATGTTTATAACAACCTCGACTATGATAATAATACGACCATGATTATAACAAGCATGACCATGATTATAACAACCACGACTATGATTATAACAACCACGACCATGATTATAACAACCACGAAAATCATTATAACAACCACAACCATGATTATAACAACCACGACCATGATTATAACAACCACGACCATGATTATAACAACCGCGACCATGAGTATAACAACCACGACTATGATTATAACAACCACGACCATGATTATAACAACCACGACCATGATTATAACAACCACGACCATGATTATAACAACCACGACCATGATTATAACAACCGCGACTATGATTATAACAACCACGACCATGATTGTAAAAACGAGGACCATGATTATAATAACCACGACTGTGATTATAACAACAACGACCATGATTATAACAAACCACGACCATAAATATAACAACCACGACCATGATTATAAAAGCCACGACCATGATTATAACAACCTCGACTATGATTATAATAACCACGACCATGATTATAACAACCGCGACCATGAGTATAACAACCACGACTATGATTATAACAACCACGACCATGATTATAACAACCACGACCATGAATATAACAACCACGACTATGATCATAACCACGACTATGATTATAACAACCACGAACATGATTATAACAACCACGACCATGATTATAACAACCACGACCATGATTATAACAACCACGAATATGATTATAACAACCACCACCATGATTATAACAACCACGACTATAATTATAACAACCACGACCATGATTATAACAACAACGGCCCTATTTATAACAACCACGAATATGATTATAACAACCACGACCAAGATTATAACAACCACAACCATGATTATAACAACCACGACCATGATTATAACAACCACAACCATGATTATAACAACCACGACTATGATTATAACAACCACGACCAAGATTATAACAACCACAACCATGATTATAACAACCACGACCATGATTATAACAACCACGACCATGAATATAATAACCACGACCATGATTATAACAACCATCACGATGATTATAACAACCACGAATATGATTATAACAACCACGACCATGATTATAACAACCACGACCATGATTATAACAACCACGAATATGATTATAACAACCCCGACTATGATTATGACTACCACGACCATGATTATAACAACCACGATCTGATTATAACAACCACGACCATGAATATAACAACCACGACTATGATTATAACAACCACGAACATGATTATAACAACCACGACCATGATTATAATGTAGTGAGGGGTTGTCAGACCACAGCTTACATCGCGAGGAAAGCCAGACTTGTCCCGACATTAGCCGAGGTCAAGCATAGGGTAACTCTGCGGTTGACCGGGATGGTAAATCAGCCTAGCTCCCCTCCCATGTGACATGTGGCCCCAACAAAACATGTAAGAAGGCACCAGCCGACCCTCTTCCAATATACAATAACCTACTCTCTGAACAAAGGCCGGACCTGACCTCACAATTAGCCAGGTCAAATGTAACCCTTGGAGCCCAACTCAAGGGACAAATCAACCAGGGCCTTCGTGTCACACGGCCCCACCTGATGACTTCTCCTTACATCTCAGAAACTCCAGTCTGACCCGACGTTTGGGAAGTCATGTAGGGAACTCTCACGTTGCTTCCCAATTAATACCGCCCCCACCTGATGACTTTCCGATAGTTCTGAAAAGTCCAGGCCTGACCGCACATTTGCCAAGATTATAACACTCACGACCATGATTATAACAACCACGACTATGATCATAACCACGACTGTGATTATAACAACCACGACCATGATTATAACAACCACAACCATGATTATAACAACCACGACCATGATTATTACAACCACACATGATTATAACAACACGACCATGATTATAACAACTACGACCATGATTATAACAACCACGACCATGATTATAATAACCACGACCATGATTATAACAACCACCACCATGATTATAACAACCATGACCATGATTATAACAACCACGACCATGATTATAACAACCACGACCATGATTATAACAACCACGAATATGATTATAACAAACACGACCAAGATTATAACACTCACGACCATGATTATAACAACCACGACTATGATCATAACCACGACCACGACCATGATTATAACAACCACGACCATGATTATAACAACCACGACCATGATTATAACAACCACGACCATGATTAAAATAACCACGACCACGATTATAACAACCACCGCCATGATTATAACAACCAGGACCATGATTATAACAACCACGACCATGATTATAACAACCACGAATATGCTTATAACAACCACGACTATGATTATGACTACCACGACCATGATTATAACAACCACGACTATGATTATAACAACCACGAACATGATTATAACAACCACGACCATGATTATAACAACCACGACTAGGTTTATAACAACCATGACCATGATTATAACAACCACGACTATGATTATAACAACCACGAATATGATTATAACAACCACGACCAAGATTATAACACTCACGCCCATGATTATAACAACCACGACTATGATTATAACAACCACGACTATGATTATAACAACCACGACCATGATTATAACAACCACGACCATGATTATAGCAACCACGACCATGATTATAACATCCACGACCATGATTATAACAACCACGACCATGATTATAAGAGCCACGACTATGATTATAACTACCACGACCATGATTATAACAACCACGACTATGATTATAACAACCACGACTTTACTACCGGACTCGCCACCGGGCACGAAGTGCCCTCGATCCCTTGTTTCGTCTATATATAGTCAGATAATTTGGTCACATAATTCTCTTGACATAACCTCACCTGGTATACTCCAAAAAATTGTATTCTAATTTCTTCAGAAGAATGCCTTCATCAACGAATGCCTTGCATATGTTCATACTTTATCCAACGAAAACCACGATCGCCAACCAGAAGCTGTGCTATATGTAGAAAGAAGACGCTCACTGTAAGTATTCTGTTCATCTGTTTTGCGTGCGGGAGCAACTTTGTGTTTGCACGTCTCTAAATGTTAGAATGCACAGTACTTGTCGCAGTTCACTGATTTTTCACACATTTTACAAAATATCACTTCCCCGTCTTTAGACAACACATTGTCAACAAACTGTTGAACTAAATTTTCAATCAAAATGTGAACACTACTGCTTTTGAAAAAAAAATTATTGACTCAAATGCTGAAACCTGTTGGGGCAGAGTAACGCATGACAGAGCTTGACATAATTAATCTTGAAGAACTGCTTCTCGTCAATTCACAAAGCTGAGCATGACAGGAATAAACATGTAATGACTCCAAAAGCCGATTCAATCACATAGTAATCAGAATAGACTTAAGAATTATCTTAGAGCAGAATGATATTAACAAGTAATGACAATTGGTGTACTATAACGAAACTGGTAATATTATATCGAATTAGGGAAAAATAGGCATGTGTGGCAATTTATCTCAACATACGGGCTCCACTGATTAATCTTGAGGGTAATACTCACAGACAACTTCCTGCCGCGGAGGTCACGAGCGAATAATGCGCAATAGTTTCAGTCTGGGGTATTTATAATTGAGGGTGGCGGGGAAGTGCTGAAACTGGCCCCTGAATGACGTAACAAGACATGCTGAATTCCTTTGAATATATATATATATATATATATATATATATATATATATATATATATATATATATATATATATATATATATATATATATATGTATAGTATATATATTAGGCCTAGTAATTTTTCATAAAAAGAATTACTGCACGTGAATCCCCACACGCAAATATACATACATATATATGAATATACTGTTTTTATTGCCCAGCTCTTATTGAATCCCACAAGAAAATAATCTATGTTGTTATATATAGGCAGAAGAACCCCACAAAGAGGTTTATTGTATTATATCTTCGTGTACCTCAGATACTAGATCTAATTTTGTGTATTAACTTCCTGTGCCATGACCTGAAAACATGGATGAGATTAATAATGTCAGATACTCAGCATCACTCCTAACCATCAGGAAGTGAGGTGCATCCCTCCTAAAGGTATTAAAAATGTCAATTATTTTTTTGTATTCTTTATTTGTAAAGGGGTGTTTTTTATCATTGTATTTTCAGGTATAAGTAAAACTCAGTAGAAATAAAAATTTATGTGTTTTTCTTTGTCCATCGATATTGATATATTTATTAATCGTTCAGTCTTCGCCACTTATAAGCCACACAGACTGGCGGCCTCGAAATTCCTAACTGGCATCTTTACTGAGTCCATTCTTCTCACCACTCCCGAAACATACAAACCAGGCAATTAATCGATGGTCATCCAAGGCATAAAGTCAAAACTTACCCTTGAACATGTTAGTGTGGTTAGGTTTTTTAAACAGAAAAAAATGCTAATGTGCTCGGTGGTAAGCGTTGACTTTACACAGGTCATTAATCTGTGCATCGAGGACGACCAATATTGAGATTATAAACAAAATATCATTAAAAATCCAAAACTATATCAGGGAAATTATTTACAAAAATACTAAAATACTAACTTAAGCGACTGTTAGAAGAAAAAATATCAGAATTTCAACTTTATAACCACAGATCCTTTATCTGCACGCCGAGGAATACCTATACTAAGAATTTGAGGAAAATTACTCTTTCAAAACATTTAAAAACTTATGAAAAAAGATTTATATGAAAAAAGAAATAATTCTCCTCCTATCCCTCAAACGATGTTTTTCCGGTTTCTAGTCCCAGCGAACTGTTTTTTGATGGATACGATTTTTCAGCAAATAAATCGTAACTGAAATAAATGTTCTTGAGAACTAGGCCTGGCACAAGGTCTTTTTGGGGATACGATTTTTTGGCCCCCCCCAATTTTTTGTATGTAAACAAAATTAACAATTAATAAAACTAATTAAAAAAAAAATTACCGAAAATTTTAATTGTTAAATTGTGATTTTTAAATTGCAAAATTTATCATAGATCTAAAAAAATCATATCCTATCCCTAAACGCTCGTTTACCGGAAACTAGCTCGTTTACCGGAAACTAGGCCTGGCGAACAATCTTTTGAGGGATACGATTTGTTCATACCAATAAATTATATCCCTCAAATTCAATAATTATTTTTTGAATAATAATTTCAATTAGAAAACATATTTTTTTTACATGTGCAAAAAATTACAAATAAAAAAAATATTAATAAAAATGTGAAATTTTCAAAACAAAAATAAGATAATGAAATATCTAACTTTGTAGAATATATATTTTTTTATTTATTTTTCTAAAATTCAAAAATAAAAACTAAATAAAAGGATAAAAGATTAAATCCAATCATATTCCTCAAACGATCGCTTGTATGGGAACTAAGCCCGGCAAACAGTCTTTTGAAGGTCTGGTATTTTTTTATTTTTTTTTGGGGGGGGGAGGGGTTGGCTTTTTGAAATTAATAAAACTCAAACATTTTCAATTTCAAAAACTAAAAGAATGAAAATTTAAAAAAAATAATATATTTTTGTAATTAATTCCATTTTTTTTAGAAAATTCAGATATTAAAAACAATATTAGAAATTTGAAAAAGAAACGTTTTTATATTTAAAACAAGTAATTGTAAAAAAAAATAAATTCCAAAAAATATATAAAAATTTCAAGAAAAATACAAAAATATTTGTACCAATTAAAAATAATCCAGAGAGTAAATAAAAAAGTAAAAAAGTGGGTCAGCATGTTGACATTTTGATTATTATTTGTCCTAATTGTCCCTGGAGTATAAAAAAGTTGATAACTAATTGTTCAAATTACTTTAGGGAGACTTAATAACCAAAATTTCATCTTTTTGGCCTTGGATCTGTAATCTTCACTTCGGGGAATACCTAGACTGATTATAAGCATGATTAATTTTTCTGCTCCCCCCAAAAGAATAATTGAAAAAAATCTAAACTCCAGCATAAAGTCAATGCTTACCCCCAAGCACGTTAGCATTATTATATATCTTTAAAACTGTATTTTATTTCTATTTATAAAACCTATCGATACTAACGTTGACCTTACAACTTGGCCGACCACTGATTAATTGCCTGGTTTGTATGCTTCGGGAGCTGGAGGGAGGGACGAACCTGGCAACGTTGCCTGTTAGGAATTTCGAGGCCGCCAGTTTGTGTGGCTTCTAAGTGGCATGGACTGTACATAACGCCCCCCCCCCCCTTGCATTATTTTAACACCACCATAATTTCTTCACATGTAAACAGCAACCATGTAGGCAGCCGATCGTCAAGAGGCATAGTGGATTGGTGCTTTTTACACATACCTTAAAGTCTTGATAAAATCACACATTGAAAGGGGAAACAATGGAGCACCTTAGCTTTCATCTTTATTGAAGACATCTTCAGACGCAACTGAATTACAAAGACTGAGAGAGGCTTATGTACAGGGGGTGACCTTACAAAACATGAGGTTAGATCCAAAATCATGACATCCACTAATCCACACACCAACCACACAGCAAACATCAGAAGAGATTATAAGAACAGGCGACATAACTAATCATGCAGTCCGCCCATAAGAGGCCGCACTGATAGATATAAGAATAACACCATCCCATCTATTGTTAAAATAATAAACAGCTCCTGATATAAGTACTGTAAAGCTCTGTAAATGTATTGAACGTATGTCATTATGGCTAAATCACATGTAAGCGTGTATATTTTCAGCCACCGGCTGCAACTCTATTAATAAACCTTATTAAATCTAGTATACGTCGGTTTACACTAAAAATATCTCTATGAGTTTATGTTTTAAAACATTTGTGACTTCTAAAGTATAGCAATGTTAATTTAGCCATACATATACTAACATATGGCCAAAATGCTATACGACAAAACAAAATCATTTACTGTTTCAACTGCCTTACTATATCCTCCCTGGTCTCCGGCTTAGTTGTGTCCTTCCTGGTGGGAGGAGCGTTTGTGGGCGAAGTTGTCCCGCAACTGTATGAGGAAAGCGATGAAGCAGCCCAGAAACATTAGGTAGAAAGCGCCCTGAAGGTGTTGCAACCCCAAGGTCATTTCTCCTTCGTCTTCCTACAGGATAAAAAAAAATTAATTAATTAATAAATTAATAAATATATAAATATATATATATATATATATATATATATATATATATATATATATATATATATATATATATATATATATATATATACACTTCATTTTTAGTCCATATAACACGCGGACTTTGAATATAAAATCAACGACCTCACCAGCCAGGACTCGAACCCTGGACCTAATGCATGGGACCAGGGAACACTACCGACCATACCACAAGAGCACTAAAGACAGCTCTTAACTATGTTATATTTCACACAAAGCCTGTTCATCGAGCTGATGGCGCCGAGAACCTCATTGGGAAACCGCCCGTGCCTCGTATATGGTGTCAGTAGCATTTTACCGAATCCAGCTGGTATGAAACACGAGGTACCATGTATACTTCATTTTTAATTCCACCAAATCTTCAATGCTGATACATATGAACTGGACATTTCATCTTCA